GGTTGGTTGGTTGGTTGGTCCTGAGAACTTGTTACAGGAAAGCGCAAGACGCTGCAAAGCCTTGCTTAGTACCACATGCAGGGTCACCCGGCAAGCTGTGTTGAGATAGGTGTCGTATGTTGTCAATTCTTCAAGTTCAAGCCCGTTATAAAATTGGAAGGTCACCGCATGAACCACATTCAGCTTGATGCAGCTTCTCTCTAACAAGCGCAGGTACAGGTCTAGAAACTGAGCATATCAATGAATATTTGTTTGACAGCCGGCAAGAAAGTCTAGTTTTCATCTCCACGCATTCTGTTCTTCCTTCCGGCAATGTCAGAATTCTGTCCAAGCTGATTCAGGTACTATACCTGCATCTTCCTGCTTGGAGAATGGTGCTCTTTTGACTTCTCCCCCATGGGTGCAGGCTTGGTTGCAGCAGGTGTTCTCACTCAAACCTTATTTTTGCCTTCAGCAAGACTTGATATCGACACTGTGCTTGTCATGAGTTTCAAGGCTCACTTTTATCATTTGTGCTTGCCGAGGTTTTACTGCTTCCACATTGTGGCTTCAAGGTTGAAAACAATTGGTAGGTAGATCACAAGACATTGCGATAGGTCGAAGGAGGCACATTTGATCTACACGATTTTCCTATGTATGATCCTTATACTCATTTCAAATCAGGGTCCAGCAGGAGGGAGACGGACAAAGCCCTTCCTCTTCGGTCGATATGCTAGCCAGAAGGGTTAACAACGCCAGGTTTGAGCATGCTCTATGCCATCGTTGGGGTGGGTCTCAACGCCATGCCCATGGCAGCTGTACAAGATGCCCTGACAAACTTGTTGCTTGGTGGCATGGGTCAGCTGGGTGTCCTAGTAGCTTCTTGTTCTTAGTAGCGATGCCAGGAGCCCCTAGTAGGATCCTTGCTCCTAGTAGTAAGGCCAGGAGCCCATGTTCCTGATCACTGAACTTCTCAGCCGATAACTTGACATCACCGAGAACTGGAAAGCCAAAGAAATAGAAACCACATCGGCCACATCGGCCACATGGTCAGAATGAATGACTGTTGCAACGTCACTGAGGACGGACTCAGGCTTCGTGGCAGATTTCAGTCGGTGGTCGGAGCTTGGTACATGTAGATTTACGTTATGTAGATGAGTCTAAGGAACATTGTAAGACCGTACATGTCAGATGATCAAATGCATCATCAAACGTGTACAAAAGGAACACTGCCACAATCTCCCGGACTATTTCTGTTTAGGGTTGGACTGCTTAGTCTGCTGTAGTGCATACTGGCAAGGATGGATGAAACACAGCTGAATTTTCGACACAACTCCACGAAGAAATAATCTCCACGAAGAAATAGGCGGACTCGACAATGCAAGTAGACTGCTTGACTGTGTTTTTGTATATAAAGAGATTAGATAAGAACTTTATCTCACGAAGATGCAGAGGTGCTTACGACGTGGTCCTCGAAAGGCGCAAGCTGATGCAATCCTGCAGTTCCTCAGAAGAGAAATAGTCAGGACGTTGAGGTGCAGACAACACCAACAGTAGTCTTTTGCCAGATGACACAAATTAAAAGAACATGCATTGTTTTACTTATTTCGGCCTCTTGCCATTCTTGCTTTCTGTTTCCTTTCGACTTGCCTTTCGTATTGGCCCGCTCAGGCAACCTTTCCAATGCCTCATCTGCACCAGCAGAAGCGTCCGGGACTCAGATGGATGGACATTCGTTTGAATCGGAAATGCCTGCGTGAACTGACAGTTCCGTGAAGTGGCCTTCCTGAGGCTGGCCAACTAACGTCAAGGGATGAGAACAGCTAAACCTGAATGATTGCTTCACACAAGACAACACTGCTCCTGTTTTGGATTCCTGGAGTGCCTAGGAAACCAGGAGCATGGAAGCCAAGGAAGACAGAGATTGAGATGCAGATCTTGGATAGTCTCGATCAACCCATTGATTGAATCGGAGCTTGATTCATTGAGCCATCTACCATCATCTGCCTAGATTTGTTTTCTGATTGTGTCTTGTTCTTTCTCTCTCTTCTTTGTCAACTACTTTGCAGCGATTGGATTGTACCTGTCATGGAATCCTACGATGGTGACCGGTGACCTCAGATGCTTGTCAACATTGTTGAGTAGCGTTGCGTAGAAGATTTAGTTTCTTGGGTTCAAGAGATTTCAAGAGCACAAATGACATTTGGCAACCAATTATGCCAGACTTGGAGAGAGATGGCTCCAAAGCCTGTCAGATTTGGGTTGTTCGTTTGGAGGCTACAACCAAGGCCTAGTGTTGGTTGTCTCAAGTCGGGTTGTTCAACAGCTGACTAAACCCAACCATGTTTTGTTGTGCATTCTGACCCACAACGCTTAGCCACTCTTGTGATTATCATAAAGCCTCACATGAAACCTTTGCCTTTGCATGTTCAAGCAAGTATGTTTGCAAGCTGAGAATGTGAGTCCGACAAAATTGAGGCATACCAACCAAAAACATAGATCCTTCCCGAAGGAGGGCTACAAGCCAGAGAGCTAAGCACAATTGCTGCCTGCCAACAGAAGTTTAGTGGCGGCAATGGCAGTCTTTGGTCCCGGTACAGCCCTTATGCAATGCATTCGAACGCATTCGAAGACTTGTTCGGTTGCAGCTCGCCCAAAGCTGGTGTACTGCAGATGAGACTCCTTCAAACCCTTGTGCCCTGGTCCTTAAGCTCAGCTTCAGCTTGACCAGTGTGCTTGGGGACTTATCGAGCTGTGACTTCAAAGCATGAGCTGTTTGCCATGCTTGAACTCTACACCAGCGAAGCTCAAAGAAGCTTGCTGAGGAAGTTGTTGATGTGCCAATGTGCCTAGAAAGGGCATTTACTTTTGATGATGATTGTGTCCAAACTTGGCTGCTTGTTCTGTGCATGTACCCAACACCAGCAAGCAACACCATTTTAGAATATTTACACCTGCGGATTGTTCCGCCGGCCCTTTTGGCCGCAGCGAGAAAGCCAACTTAGTGGGTGTGAGTGCGGTGCAGCCGAGAAGGGGTGACTGCAAGAGTAGAAGTCAAACTGGATGTGGTCACACGCAGCCAATCCGGAGAAGCAGTGACATTTATGCAGATAAGGGTGCAAGGCTGACACAGCAGTAGGTAAAAGGTCTGCTCTGTGCTGTACACATGGCATGCTACCTACTACTTACTACTCACTACTCCCTGCTCCCTACTTTCTACTTCCAACTTCCAACTTTCTACTTACTACTTATTTACACTGCACGGCAAAGCTAGGGGGCTTCTTTCAATCTTCGACTCTTTCAAGTGCCCACTTCCACAATTGGCTCCTTGATGGGAGCCATTTTCTCACAGTGAAGCCGCGAAGCCCGAGGCTCTCGGAAAGGCATGTCCTCACAAAAGACAGACAAAGCAACGTATGACATAGAAACCAAAAAGTACAAACAAGAGACAGCGCAAACACC